ACCCCTCATTTCCTAGTCACAATCGCAAGGAAAGAAAGGTTTTAATGATGGTATGGATATATTATTTGTCGACGCTGTATATTTGTTTTGTCTCTCTTGTCCCTAACGTCAAATTCTCACACATATCCAACCATCCATTCACATACTCTCTTCTCCATGTCTTAAATAAAAAAAAAAAATAACAAATTTGAATGAAATATTTTGTTATTGATTTGAAAAAAATAGTCATTGATTTTACTATAAGTCTCAATATTTATTGAAATTCACTATCAATTCAATTATTATAATCATTAAATCTAATTTTTAAATTCAGGTAACATTACTCGTTTTTGCACACGTATTGCATGAGTTCACAATTTCTAGTATGGAATGAATAACAGTGGTAATAATATACGATCAGCAATTATGGGTCAGGCTGGGCTGAATTTTAAAGTACTCGGGCATTGGCAGGCCAGTTTAATTGTGGTCCAGTCCAACCAATTAGTGGCCTGCTTCTGTTGAGGTTAAGCCCAAATTAGACCGATTTGAATTCGCTCAAATCTCATGCATGCTTGAAGATATTATATAATATTAAATTGAACTAATTTTATAATATTTATATTTAAATAATAATAATTTAATTTTTTTAATTATATATTTTAAAATTAAAATAAAGAGAGAGGTAGGTGTGGATTTATGTAATTATTTGACATTAGGGAATATGTTGATTGAGTTGTTTGACATTAAAGATCGTGCAGAGAAGTTAATATTGTTTAGCATGAAATTTTTTTTTGCGGATGAATATTATACCGTTGAATTAAAATAGATGAAGAATAAATCAATTTTAATCGTTGTTATGTTTTTATAAGTTAAAAATTTGAGATAGATATTTGTGGGCTTATGTGAGCGGACAAGCATGGGTTGGCATCGGGCCCTAGGCAGAACGATTTGTTGGGTCATTGACTGCTCAATAGTTTGGACACAACAAGCCCATTAGAAGAATGGGTTTGGAAATTGCTCAATAACCGACTCAAAGCTGTAGTAAATGGGGAATTTAGAAGTCCGTATAATTTTTAAGACTTATTTGGGATAAAAGTGTAAGTCAAAAACTTATTTGGGATAAAGTGCATATTTTTTAAAAATGTCACTGTTGCCATTGGTAAACAGTATATGAATGGAAACCCTTTTGTATTCTTTCCCTTTTTTTTTTTGGCTACAATCAAGTAATGAGAGATAAAATATGGGCATATTTTTTCTAACAATTTCTCCCTCTCTTTCTCTCTCCCTATTTTCTCTTATTCTATTTATTTTAATATTACAACAAAACAATTACACTAATTAGTTACATCAATCAGTTATAATTGTCATATAATACAACAAACAGTTATTCATACGTTCTAATAAATCAAACAATTACACAAAATTACAACATCAACTCAATTTGTCATTCAGTTGTTTATATAAATTAAATAGTTGCACCATTTAGTATTTCAGTATCGTTACACCATCATGTTTTAACAATTACATGAGACTGTGATTATTACACCCATTTAAAAAAAAACAGTTACACTCATTAAAAAAATAGTTACATATATTAAAAAAACGTTGCACCCATTAAAAAAAAACAAATTTTTTTTTCCTATGTCCCAACAATGAACAATATATAATATCTAACAAAACATCTTGACCGACACCCTTTTTTTTTTTTGAGAAAATTCAGATTTTCATCAATCATCATATTAAAAGACTTTATTCCTTTTGGTCAAATGACGTGAAAGCAAGGTTGGTGGCATGAGACGACACACACACACACACACACACACACACACACACACACACACATATATATATATATATAGATATATATATCAGTTTGTTTCACTTTATATAAAATTTGTATAAGTTTGTTTCACTTTGTACACACGCACACACACACACATATATATATATATATATTTCACTTATACTTTACACCCATACTCTATCTTCTAGCACGAAATACCTCTGTTTTTTCTTTCTCTCGCTATCTGTAAACTCCTATTTTACCTCTCGTTATTATTGTTAATCTATACATATTTGTTTCTTCAAATAACTGTCAATGATGACTGCATAAATTAAGGAAGGGTGTTTAGGTAAAAAAGATTTTAATTCATTTTAAATTTTGTACCTAAACACAAAAAGTTTTATAAAAATTGTATTTAATAGAATAAATTATTTATCCATACACTTTTCCTCAAATAAGTCTAAAAAATTGTACCAACTCCAAAAAAACCCTTAGTAAATGCTGCACGTCAAACAAACTCTGTTTTGCTAGATCTGTCAATGGCGAAAAATGGATAGTGTAAAGCCTAGCAATGGTAGTGGATCGAAGCGCGGTGTTGTCTTCATCCTCGTATTTGTTTAAAAAAACTCTGTACATCCCTCGTCCACCCCCCGTTAACGGGTATAATTTTTATCTTTATCCCCGTCCACGAGTAAATTTGTAATCCCCGCCTTTGTCCCCGTCCTCGCCTTCACCCCCACCCAAGGCCAAGCCTAACTTAAACCAACATTTTAAATAATCCAAAAAGTAAAAAAAAAATACATGTCACCAACCGAAAATTACCACATAATTCTTCTCAATTATAAGGACTTGCATTTCGTATACTGAGTAGGTAAGAAGTTTATCCAGCACTTTTCAAATAAAAAGTTTATCCAACAGTTTTTAAAGTATAAAAACCATATTCAAGTAGAATAAACTCAAAAATCAGCAAAAATCATATCTAACACTATAATCAAAATTCAATAAAGATTATATTCAAGTAGCATATAATTAGAATATTCAGTATATTGCATATCTAACATAAAAAATCAAATGTAGCTCATAAAAATTGTAGATCTAACACAAAAAAAAAAAAAATTAGAATAAGCAATATCTAAAAATCTCGTATCTAACACACTATAAATTTGAAACAAAAACTATCAATAACTAACACAACATAGACATTTAGATCTAACAAACCTCACAAATCTAATAAAAAGAAAACTGATCTAACAAAAATCCTTAAAAAGAACACAGATAATAGATCTTACCTTATTGGACAAAGAATAAAAAATGGGCCTTGAATTTTGAAATTAACTTTATAGATGGGTGAGAATGGGTTAGCAGAGGTGGGGTGGGGATGGAGCGGGGGTAAGTGTCAGTCCATCCCGTGTGAGTTTATACGGGTATCCCTGTATACATCCACCGTCCAATATATATGGTGTTTTTCCGGTCCAAATGGGACAATTTTAGACGAATACCCATTTTTCTTTGGTCCATTACCATCCTTAGTAAAGCCGAGGGTAGCTTAAGTGATAACTTAGATGTTATTCGAATTTTGGTAGTTTTTTGGGGTCAGTTTATTCTTTATTAATACTTTAGTTCTGGCATTGATGGTCTATTTTTGACCGGACCAAGAAGAGGATTAGTCAAGACACACATAAGTTGGCTGGAATACCTTTGACCATTGAACTTAAAAAAAAAGAAAAAGAAAAATGACAAGGTGAATTCATGAAATTTGTTAAAATCAACTGTGATTACTTTATTCCAAACGAATTTAATATTTAGGTCTGATGTGTGCTTTTTAATTGATTTGAATATGAATTGCGACAACCAAATCTATCACATAACCCCATTGGATTTGAATGAACTTTTTTTAATTGAATTTAAATGCGGATCAAACAAATCCAATATCTATACTGTATGAGAATGTATCTACAAACAAGGAGGGCCCCCCAAAACTCAATTCCTTTTTTCTTAAATTTTTGACTTCTTAATTTTAGAAAAAATTACTTGGCTTATTTCTATAATATCCTATACTCTTTTTAAATGCTACTTTATCTCTCCCTCTTTTTTTTTTTTTTAAAATATTCAATCCTCTTTTTAAACTCTCCCACTTCTATTTTCCTATGACTCTCACACAGCAAAAAAAAAAAAAAAAAAAAACTCAAGCAAACAAGATATCCTCTTTTTAAACTCTCCTTAACAAACCATCTGCTACTTTATCTTTTGCTTTTTTTTATGCTAATTCTATTATGGTTCTTGGTTATTTTGATCAAGATGTGTTTCTTCTGAACTATTAATTTTTGATATGTAGCATTATAATTTGATTTTTTTATTTTGTCCTGGCAGATTTGCATGAGAACCACCATCATATGCATTTGTTTTTGCTTGTTATCATGCTGATGTGGATTGTATATATTGTGAATTACGATTGATCAATTTTGAACATTATTTGATATAATCTCTATGTTTATAATGATGTTATTAATATACTATCAAATAGATTACCAAACATTTATTTTCATATTAAAAAAATAAATACCAAAACTTATTAAATTAAAAAAAAATAGTGAAACATTTTATACACATTGTTTAAAGGATATATTCATAAAGAAATACAAAAACTATTAACATTTTTTTATTTAATTTAGTATATTTATAATGATGTTATTAATATACTACCAAACAAATTATCAAACACTAATTTCCACCTCAAAAAAAGAAATACAAAAACTAATAAAATTAAAAATAGGGTTAATTGCGGCTGTGGTCCTCAAAGTATTTATTTGGTCTCATTTTGGTCCCCAACCTTTATTTTGTCTCATGTATTACATATGCACTTACCTAGTCCCCGCCATTGACGCCGTCCACAATTCTGACGGTTCATAGTCATGTGCCATCCGCGTGACCATATATGAGGGTTTATATGACATTTAACGTTCTTCCCATTCTTGGAGGGAAACTGAGCAGAAGACTCTTCAATGTCTTTACTTGTTCTGCAATAGACAAAATTCTTCAGTTAGGGAAAAACATGATTAGGGGAAAATAGAGCACCATTAGTGCAAATCAAAACACCATTAAGGCAAAGCAGAACACCATTAGGGCAAAGCATAAAGATGGTATGTTCCAAACAACGGAAGACTGGGAATCAACATACAGATGAAGACATTCCCCATTATGATATGTACTCATTCTTTTATATTTGAGTCTAAGGTTCATGGGTAAGACTGATTTATATAGTTTATGTGTTTGTTCGAAACCATTTGTTTATGCATTGGAAACTCTTTGTTAATAGTTTATGTGTTTGTTCGAAACCATTTGTTTATGCATTGGAAACTCTTTTTTAATAGTTTTTGTGTAAGTTTGCAATATTTTATAGTTGATGTGGTCTTTGAAAAGCATTTGTTTATGCATTGGAAACTAGTCATTAATATTTAATGTGTTAGTTGCAATATTTTATAGTTGATGTGGTCCTTGAACAGGACCTGATTCTTCACTTTTCACAGACGAGAATCATCAGGTTGATGGTGATGTCTCAGTTGATAAAGGGAAAAGGGTAGCATTAGAGTGTGATGAATCAAACAGTGAATACCAACCTGACTATGAATCTAGTGAGTATGATATGTTGGTTGATAGTGATTATGAAAGTGAGTATGATAACATGTTGTATGATAGTTATATTGATAATGAAGCTGAATGGACTGGTTTGAATAGTAATAGGCAGAAAGAAACAATAACAGACAAAAGGCAACAGTTAGAACTCAGTGATACAGATGGTGATTTTGAGGAGATTTTAAGCTGCTTCAGTTCATCTGATGGAGACAATCATGCAAGAAAACATCAAAAATTTGAAGTATTTAGGGCAGAAAATGGTGAGGAAGACCTACATTTTAAATTGGGTATGTTATTTAGTACATCTGAGGAGATCAAGGTTGTCATTAGACAACATGCTATCAAACATCAGAGAAATGTGAAATTAGTAAAAAATGATAAGAGGAGGGTGAGGCCACAATGTGAAGGGGGCTATAGTTGGCTGGTTTATGCTTGTAGAGTGCATGGTGAGAAAACATACCAAATAAAGACATACATTGGTAAGCATACATGTGGGAAAACTTATAATAATAGAAATGTTATCTCATAGATGATAGCATTGAAGTATATGTATGAACTAAGGGCCAATCCTTGTTGGCCTATAAAGGCTTTTAAAAAGAGGGTTAGGAGAGATTTTCATGTTGATGTATCAAGGAATCAATTGTACAGAGCAAAGAAAAGGGCAATTTTGTTGATACATGGTGATAAAATTGAACAATATGGTAGATTGAGGGATTACTGTGAGGAACTAAGGAGGACTAACCTTGGTTCCACAATTATCTTGGATGCACCTAGTGATAAGGAAAATGGTGAACTTATATTTCAGAGACTTTATGTATGTATTTGCAGCATGTAAGAGGGGATTTCTTCAAGGGTGCAGGAAAATGATTGGATTAGATGGTTGCCACCTAAAAGGGGCATATAGTGGACAATTGTTGACTGCTGTTGGGATTGATGCCAATGATTCTATGTTTCCCATTGCCTACTGTATTGTTGAAATTAACATGAAGGAATCATGGGCATGGTTCTTAACAGTACTATGCACTGACTTAGGCATAACTGATCAAAACCAGGATCCTACTAGTTAGTTAATAAGATAAATGTATAGATGTAGGACATCTTTAGGTGTTCAAAGAATTCCTCAGAGACATTGTATTTTGATCCCTTATCTATGGCTTTTTCCCACATTGACTCTCAAAGTTAAAACTATCATATTACTCACATGTACACCCAATTGCAATTATTAGTTTCAAATGCCCCGACGACAAACGTTTATTACAAATTGATTGAAAATTTGTGTTTCCCCACACTTTAAACTCTATTATTGTAATTTTGGGACGAAGTGAATATTTCACATTGTCCCAAACTCTAATGACACATCAATATATTCTGTCCAAAACATAAAGATCTTTATTTTTGGGATGGTGAAAAATCAATTTAATAGCTAATGCTGTGAGAAAACCCAATGGTTGAGAGGTTAAAATGAGATCAAACCCACAATTGTGAGTGTTAAAGTATAATTTTTCCATATTCTTTTTAACTCATACTTCTATTATGCTTCGATGCAACTTCTTATTTTTTTTAACGGTTAGGGGTGTCCAGGTCAGATTACGCGCACATCGACTAATCTCTTTTCCAATGTAGTAAAAAATAGACTATTCACGCCATGACATCTCCTCTCTAGTGCGGTTAAAGATATACCATTCACGTCATGATTAAGTTAATCATTAAAGATAAATCTCTCATAGCCTAATCTCAATGAATTGCTAAGATTTGAACTTAGGATGTCTAGATTTAAAGCTTATTTTTGTTACCGCTTGAGTTACCCCGATGCAACTTGTTGTGTACGCTATTGCTCTATTAACATAAAATTATAAATAAGCCCCAAAAATTCTCTATTTCTACGTATCACATCAATATACATCAATTTTGGACTCCAGCTAATGAGCATAGAACATAGACATTAGAAAATTTATTAACAAAATGGTATTATATAGTATATACTAGTTACTACCCATGCCTGAAGGCACGGAATAATAAAAAAAATATTCAACAATAAATATATTTATATTCGCACTCAAAATCAAATTACAAACATAGAAGAGAGAGAGGAATTTAAGTATCGATTCTAGTGGGGATGAACAGTGGTAGTGGTGGTGGGCGATAGTGATGATGATGAGAGATGGTGATGGTTATGGTGGGTGGCGATGACCACAGTGGGGGTGGCAGCCGTGAGTGGCAATTGTGATGGTGGTGGTGGATTTTGGTTGACAATGGTAGTAGTGGTAGCCGTGGGTGACAACGGTGGTGGTGATTGTGGTGGACGACGGTGATGGTGGTTAACAATGGTGCGTGCTTTTAGGTGGTAATGTGATGGGTGGTAACAAATGGAGGTGATAGTAGTGGTGGTAAGTGCGGTGAGGGTAGGTGACAGTAGGTGGTAAAAGTGGTGGGCGATGATGGGTGGTGGTAGGTGTGGTAAGGGTGGGTAACAGTGGCTGGTGGCAATGGTGGTAGTGGGATAATGGTGATAATGATAATAAATATAAGAACAAAATGACGATGGTGTTGGGTGGTGGCGGCGGACTTTAGTGGTAGCAATTGTGGTGGGTGGCGATGGTGATGGTAGTGGAGGCAGGGAAGTGGGGGTGAAGGTGGTGGGGCAATGACGATGGCCATGGGGGTTTGGCGACGATGGCTATGGTGGTGGTGTGGCGGCGGTGGTAGTGATGGTTGTAGGGGTGATGGTGGGACAATGGCAGTGGTGGTAGGGTGCAACAGCAGTGGCGGTGGTGGTGGTAGTGGGGCATTGGAGGTGGTGGTGATGGTGGTGGTGGGGCGGTGAAGATGTTGGTAGCGATGGTGATGGTGGTGGGGCGATGGGTGTGGTAAAGTGGCGATAGTAGTGGAGGTGGCGGCGGTAATAGTGGTGGTGGGGGGTAGTTATGGTGGTGATAGTGGTGATGGTGATGGGGAGGTGGGGGTAGTGGTGGTAGAGATGGTAGTGGGGCAGTTCCAAATAGTTTTTTTTTAAAGTACTTGTGAAAAATAATTCGTAGAAACACTTTTAAAAAATCACTCCAAACGCACCTTTAGGAATCTATTTTTCTTATTAAATTTGGGGTGTTAATATTAGCCGTCAGATTAACTTTAAATTAAAATTTAAAAAGATCTCAACTGCGAATAATAAAAGTCATTTTGTTTATTTTTTGAGATTTAAATTGTATTGTACTTTATTATATAGATATTTATGAATGTCTATGTGTCCATGTGCTTTTGTATTGAGTTTTTTCTTTTTTTAAAAAAAATCTATCACAGTTATTTTAATAGCAAAACTAAATCAAAAGGTTATAGCGCGCAACTATAAGACACTTGTCTACTAAAGCAATAAATACACAATATATAGAAATCAACTACTTACATAGTATAGACACGTAACAATAGATCAAAATTTTATGTTATATGTTGAGAATATAAAATTAATAATGACCTATAGCTATAGTAGCATATGATATAATATTTAAAACCAACTAAAAAATAATTTTAAACAAAATATAGCATAGATAATTACAATTGGAATGAACTAGCCTGCGAGTCTGAGAGACGTTTGATCACTGTTTTAAAATAGTTAAGCCTTCTCACATGAAAGTTCTGTTGGACACTATCAATTTCAAGATTCAATATAGATGCTGGCAACAACACCTCCTTAATGATCATATCCATCGAAAGTTGGGAGTGAATCTGACTTGAATTGAGTTGCTCAAAAAAATATGATTTAATTTAAAATAATAGATATCAAAAAATAATGATAGAGAACAAAACTATAAAAGTTGGTGGAAGAGACACGAGGTCCCATTACTTGCAGAATGGAAAAGGAATAGTGAGTGACATATTGGCAGGGGTGTCCATGGGCTGGGCCGAGCTAGGCCCATGAATTTTTTTTTGGGTTGGGCTGGGTAGTGTAGGCCCAATTTTTTAACCAAGTGAGTTATCGGATAGACCGGACTTCAGATAAGGATAGACCACTCGCAGTTTAACGCACTAGTCTATTGGACAGGCCTTCTTGGTGGGTTTGTTCGTGAAATTTTTTATATACAATTTTGATGAGACCTCAAAATAAATCTCAAATGCCAGCTCAGGAGGTCAGATCAGCCCAGCAGGTCAGACTAGGCAAGCAGAACTCGAAAGAGTAGAGCTGGAGATCCCCTCGAGATAAGCAATGACAATGACAACCAAGACAACAACTGGATAATCACGAGAAGTTCCTAAAGTGTTAGGAAGCTATAATCAAGACACCTAATTTCACCCAACCAAGATCTTCTACTAAAATTAGGGAGAACCCCACAAAGTAAGGGCAAGGATCTCGACCAGGATCCCACTTAGCAGGGAATGACCCTATAAATGCAATGTAACACCTCCTAACAGGAAGGTGAACCCTAGTGACAATAGGAAGCTATAACAACTTTGTAATCATCGTGAATAAAACAAAAGGAACAAGAACCTCTATTGAAGAGTGGACTAACCGAGCTCCTGAGCCGGTGAACCACTATATTTTCACTGTGTGCACCCCTTTAATCCCCTGAATATTTTATAGTAGCATCATACACGAGCCTCGTAGCTCTGATCCTCGCTCATCTCACATTACTTTTAGCTTAAGCTCATCCACGTTGATATACGTTATCAGTTTGGCGCTGTCTGTGAAAAATGACTGTTCCTGTTATAAATAAACTAATCTTTCAGTGACTGATGGTATTAAGGCGAAACATAAGCCAAAGTCAGACGAATCCACCACGGATGCAAGATCAACAAGAAGCTACTAATAGTAGACAACCTGAGAACGTCCAAGAGGCCAATCCACCCGTGAGGGGTCTCCCCATGAATAAAGAGATGGAGGCTCTTCGCCTCATCAATCAACGCTTGCTGAAACAAAATGAAAAAACTCTTAAAACTCTTACAATGCCCACAGGAGGCGCGATAGGCTCAAGAAGGCCAGAACAACCCACCACCTAGGGAGCAACCACACCTCGACCCCCTCAGAGAAGTTAATGAGGTGGGAGAAAATAGCCAGACCTTGGGGCAAGAACCTCGCCTACCCCCTGGAATGGTCACAACGAGGAAGTGCAAAGTTAGTATAAGGAAAGGGAGAGAGGCGACTTCTTCCCTTATCAACAGGAGAGAAGAGAACACCACTGGGAGTAACGTTTCAAAGACATCCAACAAGAGCTCAGCCAGATGAAGAAAGTAGTAAAGAGCAAGGCCCCAGTCACTATGGATGCCTTGGTGCTGCAAACCGAATCCTCATTCACTACTGGGGTGCTGCACTTCCTTCTCCCACATAAATTCAGAATGCCGCAGGTGGATGCTTTCGATGGGACAAAGGACCCTGTGGACCACCTCAACACCTACAAAAACCAAATGGAGTTGCATGGATATCAACATCTAGTGAGATGCAGGGCCTTTGCTATCACCTTGAAGGGCTCAACCTTAGAATGATTCAATAGACTCCCTACAGCCTCGATTTCCTCTTTTAAAAAGCTGTCAATCTCGTTTATGTCCCACTTCATCGGAGCTCGAACCTATAGGAAACCGAGCTACCATTTGTTAAATATGAAACAAGGACCTGATGAGAACCTACGGTCTTATGTCCAACGGTTCAACTCAGAATCCTTGAAGGTGGATGTCCCAGACGAAAAATTTGCTATTACAGCCTTCATAACAGGTCTGAGAGTTCAGTCAAAAGATCTGATGTTTTCCATCTCAAAGAACCCCCAGGCTAATATGGCGGAGGTGCTTGCCAAAGCAGAAAAGTACATAAATAGTGAGGAAGCGCTCCTCTCCAAGGTTGGGAGCTCTTCGTCAAGAAAGGAGAAAGAGAAGGAAGAAAAGAAGAGAGAACGAAGTTCCAGAAAGGAAAGAGAACGAGGCAGGTCTCCAAGAAGGGACAGAGAGCGTTCCCCGAAGAGAAGAGAAAATGTCAGAGATCGCCACGACCTTCCACAACCAGAGCTACAACCGAGGTATGCACCCTGACAGCTCACCCTTCTGACTACTATGGTGTCTCAGATACTGTATGAGATGCAACATGAGA